GCCGTGAGATACATCTATGCTGCATATAGCTGCATGTCCTATAAGTTCATTCCTTTGTATTCCCACATGATGCTCCAATATATGACTATCCATTATGCTTTTGGGGGACATTTGGGTTGTTTTGACTTGGTGGCTGCTATGTACTTTCTTGTAATAAATCTTTCAGTTCGTAGAAGTATGCATTTGTGTTGGGTATAAAACTACCAGTCAACTGCTGGTTCACAGGGTTTGTGTATATTTAACTTAACTAAATGCTGCTAAACTTTTGTACCAGTTTACATTCCCTCCAGTAGTGTGTGAGATTCGTTACCATTCCATATCTTTATCATCATGTGCTACTGTCTGTCTTTAATTTTAGCTCTCTGCATAGGTGTGCATCTTTGTGGTTATAATTTATCGATCCTTGATGACTAAGGAAAGTGAGCCCACTTCATATGTTTGCTGACCACATTTGGATATCCTCTTTTGAAGTGCCATCCTCCGTGGTGTCTCTAACCTGCAAACCATTTATGTCTCGAGAGTCCTCCGGTAAAGACATTGCCAGATCCTACGTTAGAGAGCCGAGTGTGACAGTACGAGGACTGGATCTGCCAACAACTTGATATAGTAGCCAAGGGAACTGTTGCTACAGCAAGGAAAAAGAAAAAGCGGTATGTTTCTGGGGGAGACATTCACCCCATGTCTCTTAACTCACAGAGACACATACTATCCCATAAGAAAAAAAAATTGGTAAATCCCGAAGAGCAGGATGGGGGCCTTCCAAAGCACATATTCAGTCCCAGGGCAGTGAACATCTTCCAGAGCTCCCCAACAAGCCCTTCTTCCCTCCACTTTCACCCAGACTTCATGTGGCAATTGGCCCACATTAAATTTAGCCAGAGTATATGACAATTAAAGAGACATACAGATGAACCAATAGAAATTTGCTAGAAATGGAAGGTAAGCTAATTCTTCTACCTCCTGAAAAGATCTCCTCTCCCTCTGCTTTGCCCCTCACTGGGAGGCTGAGTCTGAGCTTCTCGTGGCCTTAAAGCTTTGCCCTCCTGGTTCATGTCTGCCATCTTCCCCCACTGGTCTCGCCAGCACCATGTCCCCCAAAGCCACCACTACTAACACACTGAAGACACTTCATATGTTTGCTGACCACATTTGGATATCCTCTTTTGAAGTGCCATCCTCCGTGGTGTCTCTAACCTGCAAACCATTTATGTCTCGAGAGTCCTCCGGTAAAGACATTGCCAGATCCTACGTTAGAGAGCCGAGTGTGACAGTACGAGGACTGGATCTGCCAACAACTTGATATAGTAGCCAAGGGAACTGTTGCTACAGCAAGGAAAAAGAAAAAGCGGTATGTTTCTGGGGGAGACATTCACCCCATGTCTCTTAACTCACAGAGACACATACTATCCCATAAGAAAAAAAAATTGGTAAATCCCGAAGAGCAGGATGGGGGCCTTCCAAAGCACATATTCAGTCCCAGGGCAGTGAACATCTTCCAGAGCTCCCCAACAAGCCCTTCTTCCCTCCACTTTCACCCAGACTTCATGTGGCAATTGGCCCACATTAAATTTAGCCAGAGAAAGAGCAGGATGGGGGCCTTCCAAAGCACATATTCAGTCCCAGGGCAGTGAACATCTTCCAGAGCTCCCCAACAAGCCCGTCTTCCCTCCACTTTCACCCAGACTTCATGTGGCAATTGGCCCACATTAAATTTAGCCAGAGTATATGACAATTAAAGAGACATACAGATGAACCAATAGAAATTTGCTAGAAATGGAAGGTAAGCTAATTCTTCTACCTCCTGAAAAGATCTCCTCTCCCTCTGCTTTGCCCCTCACTGGGAGGCTGAGTCTGAGCTTCTCGTGGCCTTAAAGCTTTGCCCTCCTGGTTCATGTCTGCCATCTTCCCCCACTGGTCTCGCCAGCACCATGTCCCCCAAAGCCACCACTACTAACACACTGAAGACTCGTGTTTTATCTCTCTGTGTCATTAGTCAATCCCAAACACATTCTAATTATTGACAAGAAGAACCAGGTACAACTAAGTGAAAATTAAGTAATTTTCTCTGGATCTTTTAACCAATTAGAGTCAGAAACAGAATTTGAAAGAAGAAAAACAGCTCATTATTGATTTTTCTTTTGCACTCTTCCACCTCTGATTAAAACATCTAGACAACCGTTCTGTTTTTGTAATTTCGATGGATGTAATGTGGGTATGTACAATGCATAATTAAATCTCTCCCAAGTAGGTACCCAACCAAAAACTATGTTCCTCACCTCTGACTTCTCTCTTTTCCTCACTCAATTTACATTTTGAGAAATTTACATTCTTCAGTAAAGTCTAAAGACTGCATAATAAATGACCATATACTCCTCATCCAGATCCATTAATTATTTCCAATTGTTTTATCAGAATCAAATAAAAAATCATACATTATTTTTAGTTGTTATGGCTCTTGAAAGCTCTTTTATTCTAGAACAGTCCTTCCATTTTTTTTCCCTGTGGGTCCAGGTGAGTTCTGCAGAATGTCTTTTTATCCGGGGGTGTTTGTTCTCCCCAAGCTCTCCAAAATTCAATTAAAGTTAAATATTTTATGGAAGAATGTTCTCTCGTAGTGCTTCCTCGCATCATAGCAAGAGGTTTGTGTGATGACTACGTCTGAGATAATAATTATGATGATATTAAATTTATCATTTGGTCAGATCTGGGAAGCAATACTTTGAGAAAATGTGTATAACTCTTTCCTTTAAAACTTTTCCTGCAATGGTTTTAACCTAAATTGAAGATCCTTTCTTCAATCAACCATTACAGTGGAGGCTAAAAGTTCTGATTTTCAAGTTGTAACCTTCTTCTATATTTATTGGCTGCCATTCATGTATAAGAGTCTCTCTCCTACTCTGTTAATTATTAGTATGGATTCAAGTGTTTTTTAAATTCAGTGTTCTATCACAATCAGTATTTCTCTTGAAGCTAAAAGTTTCCAAATTTGGCCAATGAAAACCCATATCAAATGCCTCCTTCTGGTGCAAGATGTTTCTGGCTCTGCTTGAACTTTCCCCACTCCGGCCATGGGATCAGCCACTTTTCTTACATTCTGGACACTAGGTATGCTCACTGCTACAGGTGCCATTGCCTCCAGGCCGTTTGGGTGGAAAGAGCTGGGGTAATAGATATAATGCATAAGGTAAACCATAAGTCCAAGCTGATACCACCCACTTACTTAATACCTCAACCTTTTTCCTTGTCTTTACCTATTGCGTGTTTTCTTCTCTCTTCCCCCATAGTGAGGATAGACCTTCCCAACACTACCACGGTTACTCATGTGCTCTCTCCTCCAGGATGCCTCAGAGAATTTCGGGATTACTACATTAATTCCACCCTGACTAATGCATCTCTTAAGGGAAGCTCATTCTTTCCTTACAGTTAGGTCAATTTGTTTGCTGAGTTTTCTTCTGTGACTTCTACTTTCTGTATGAAGCAAGGGGCCAAATCACATATTCAGAGTGCTGGTGGGGCTGGGTGGGTTGAGGTGGAGAAAAATCTTACAGCAAAGCACAGAATTAAATAATTTTTGTGGAGATCAAGTTAGTTGATTATAGAAAGCATTATAGTGTTGATGAGCTCTGCTGAGTGGGCACTCAGTTTGGCATTGGTTAATTTATCGTTAACACACAGGACACTTGTGTAAGTTTCTGCAGCAATCTTCAATTGCTTGGACTCTGCATGTGACAAGCACAATGGTAGGTTGTCAACTTCGTGCAAAGGCAGCAATCATCTGTACCAGAGTGGACATATTAGCATGTACTAAAACACTTAACTTGGTAAAGAATGCATAGCTCCAGAACACTGCCCTCTGTCTATCTCATAGAGAGGATCAGCAGCCTCTCCGTGAGTTTAGGAATGCATGAAGTAAATATAAGTAAAAAAATGATGAACAGCATCTTTCCTCACACCAGCAAAGATTTATTCTCACCAAAACTTGAAATCATTCAATGCCACCTTCTCAGGAAACTGTGGTTGAACTTAATCTTATCCTTAATGGAAAAGAACGAGGACAACACAGTATAATGAACCTATTTCCAAACTGCCGTGTGGGTGAACAAGTACTATTTTGGGAGATTTTGGACATAAGGTGGTTAACCCACCCCTGCATTCTATGAAGTTGTCCTGAGCTTAACTACAAGTTTTCAAGGAAGTAGGTTTTGTTCGTCTGTTGCTTTTTTCTGTCTCAAATCTCCACAACTGAATTGAAATGGGATGATGAAAGGGGTGGAAATGCAGAGTTGCTTGTTCACTGCCCTCAGGCAGCCCAGGGAGGCCTCCCTCTGAGTTCCCAAGCCCTGTCCTTTGATGGAGTCCAAAGAACCTGGACACGGATGAGCTCCTCGCTCTGCCTCTACTATAGAGACCGTTGACTTCTTTGTAATCATATGCAAAATTTATTTATTCACGAACATTTGTTCCTCTGTAAAATACATGTGGTGGGCTTAAATATCACCAAAATTCACTTTGGCATCCTTAAGGAACAGGTCTCCATCGAGGCTTGGTTTAAATATCTCTCCTTAAAGTGAACTCACTATCTCACCACCCAGCCCATTCGGCCAAAGAAGTCAGTGCCATTAGCAAGTCCCCTCTTGTGAGTCCAATATCCGTACCTCTGTTGTAACCACCCTTTAGTCTCGGCTTAACCTCCTGGGGCTCCATTAAATAGTTTGTTTTGCATTTTAGAGTACTCCAGAATAGGAAAAAAATTCAACAGCATCAAATAAACACATTAAAGCAATTCTCCCTGTGAAATTGTGCACTAAATGCATCTACTCTTCAAAATGAAAATATTTGCTATTTCTCCTAGGTGATTTCCATGGAATGTGGAGTCATTCAGCTCAGAGAACAACTTAGCCTACCACAGACAGAAACTTGGGTGTCGACAGGTAAAGACAAAGTAGGAGAGGCCCGAGTAAAAGTCAGTAGTTACAGGATAAATATATAGTGAGAATTACCTATTATCTGGTCTTGACATATGGGTATGTCTTCAACACACCTGGAGAAAACATGAAAACTGTAGTCAAATATAGAGGAGTCTGCAACCAGCTTGTGGATGGGCAGGTAAGTTTAGAGTCGTGGAGATTCACTTACTTTGTCGGGATCAGGCTTTTTTCCCAAAGGCAGCTGTGTCCTATAGTTGGTGATCCCAGCCTGGAGTCACGTGTGTCCACAGCAGATTTTCCCAGTGCTCATGAAGTCAGCTCAAGCATAGGACAGGTGTTCTCTCCAGCTCTTTAGAAGAGTCACTATCCTCATTTTGCAAGCAGTGAAACTAAGTGAGACTGTTAAGGTCTCTGCATCTCATTTTCCTCATCTATAACCTTTAATAATGAAAATAATAAAATGAAAAATAAAAATAATTTTCAAGTAATTCATTTTCTTCTTCCCTGTGGCCTGGTGCCTCCCTTTCCTCTGTGATGTGGATGTCGTCCTGCCAATCACTGCAGCAATCTGACTTGTACCCACACTTCACATACTCAGCTCCCAAACACCATTCCCGTGGCTTCCCTGACCTCACGACTTTCCCTTCACTGCACCCAACCCTCCACCTCCACCCCAGGTTAAGCTAGTCATTCATGCTTTTTTTATTCGTGGTACCAGCACATGGTGAGCATCTCTGTGCAGGACTATGGGCTCCTGAGAGACAGAGGCTGAGTTTGACTCATCGGGAATCTGAAATGGGAGGTTCATGTCCATCACAAGAAGGTAGGAAGGGAGGGTCAAAAGCCAGAGCAGCAGACTCAGTGCAAGTCAAGGCAAAACAATAAAAAGGAATATTGGGGAATCTGAAATGGGAGGTTCATGTCCATCACAAGAAGGTAGGAAGGGAGAGTCAAAAGCCAGAGCAGCAGACTCAGTGCAAGTCAAGGCAAAACAATAAAAAGGAATATTGGATAAAATCAACTGACAGAATCCTGAGATCTGAAAATAAATTCCCTACAAAACCACCCAGTCCAAGGTGGGAAGCGGTCTGCCGTGGGCATCCTGCAGCCCTACATGTCTTGCTGAGCTAGTCCAAATCACAAGCTTGTCTATTCCTTTACCTGAGCCCCTTTGCAGAGTTGTTTCCAGGGCTGGTGGCTCTGGGAGGCAAGAGGTCTCCTTGCAGGACTGCATTCCTTGGCCACGTGCTGTGCCTGGTTCCCAGACCCAAGTACAGCCTTGCTCACTGTTCAGTATCGAAGCAGCAGCTTCCCTGAGCTCAGGGTCCTCAGCCGAAGTGCAGCCCACTGCGTGGGGGGCATCCATCTGGGCCCACCATGCTGACCTGGGATGTGGGGTGGAGCTGCTGCAGACACGTGATGTTCCTGCTGTGTGCTGCACTATGAAGTCTCCTGCCTCTGACCCAGGAGACTCGTAGCTTGTGTCTGTATCCAAAAAACTCCAGCCAATTCATGCATGAGCTTGCAGAGTGACTCTGGGGAAAGTTCAGCTCCAGCTCTAATCCATACCACACATGTAGTAGGAAAAATTTCATCATTCAGGTGGTGAGAGTAGCATGTTGACAGAGACATAGCTTTCTACAAGAGGAAGAACAAAGGGTCTGTAGGTCAATGGATGGCAAATGACAACAGATGTCTTAACATTGGGCATTAAAGGGTATAGCTGTCCTCCATGCCAGTAGGTAAAGTAAAATCCAACAATCCAACTCTCTCATTTTACCAATAAATTGAGAGAATAAAAAAAATTTGACTTTTTAAAATTCAATTTAAGTGTGTAGCATTTTCATTACGATATCTACCTACATTTGAAATATGGTACATATATGCATTGAAACACATCTTTTCAATAACTATTGAATTAAAAAACAGCAAAATTTATAATTTCTAATTACACTGTGCACTACTCTATTTTTTTTCTTTTTAGACTTTAAGCTTATGCTCTATTATGTAGCTGTTCTGGAAAATACAGGAAAGCAAAACTAAGAAAGAAAAATCACCCCAAATACCACCAATCCTTAAAAGTATACAAAATAGCTCTTGAAAGATTTTTCTCTGTACTTTATCCCCATATTCTATTCCCTACAGTAAATTTCTCTATATAGTTTGATACATATAATTCTAGATTCTCTCTCTTTCATCTCCCATTTTCGTTTTGATTTGAAAATAGTAAGATATTTTATTCTTTAAGTTACCTTTTAGTAATAGATTATGTGCAACTTTGTGTAAGTATCTAGGGATATAAGTCTTTTATTAGTGGCTACATATCGTATCATTTAACTAATAACATATATCTGAATTTATTTATCACACTGCTATTGACAGTTGAAATATCTATTGCAATAGAAAAAGAACAGAATTCATTTTTGTGATTAGTGAAGTTGTATATCTTTTAATGCATTTTATAAGCCATTTATGTGTCTGTCCTATGAAATGACAATTTACTTCATTCCCATTTTCAACTGGGTTTTGTACCAATAAAGATAGGTTAGAATATACTGCTGTAGTAACAAACAATCCCAAATTCTCAGTGGGTTAATATCATATATATTTTTTTTTACTTCTATTCATATTTCATTGTTCAGAACAACTTCAAAGAGTGGGAAAAAAAGAGGGGGAGATTCTTCTCCTAAGGCTTGGAAAATGGAAAATTAGAAATATTAAATGAACTGACCAATGATTATCATTTGATATTTGCCTTTTTATGTTTGGTTTTAAATTCATAAACCTTTTGTATTAATTATACAAGCACATATGTGTGTGTATATCGTGTGTGTGTATCTTATCTCTCCATATAAACACAACTGCAAACATATATCTGTCTTTTTCTTTTAACTTTCTTTATATTGGTATTATTTATCGTTTTATAATGTAAAAGTCTTTACTTATTATTTCTTGTTTAGGAAAGCTGTTGCCTTCATTTGAAAGCTTCAAATGGTTCTCTTACATTTTCTTTAATTTTTTAGTTGAGTCATATGTACTTTGTTTAATGAAATATATTGTATATCCTGTGTCATAAAGGAAAACAACTTGTTTTTCATATGCATAGTCAAATATTGCAACTCATTTATTCAATAATCCATTCTTTTTTCACCTGACTTGGAAAGCCACCCTTATTCCCTGCTTTGTTCCTGTATTTTAGAGTTTGTTTCTGGATTTATGGGCTGGTGATCTGTAGAATGGAAGTGATGGATACATCTTTGAGATGGGGGTGTATAAAGGGAAATAATATCTTCACAACTCACATGTGCCAGGCCAGCAAAGGAGAGAAAAAAGAAAGGTGAGAAAGAATACCATACAAAAGATTGCAGATCATTCTAGAAATGAGCCCATGATCAAATTTTAGCTCCATCTGCTTGGCTGATGAGAAGGACAGGGGTTTTGGTCAGAGAAAAGTTCCTGCATCCCTTTGCATGAATTTTTCGGGTGCTAGAAGTCACAAAGTCAGGGAGGAGCTGTGGGGCAGGTGCCATGCACTGGCAGAGCCGAGCTGACAGGGTGCTTGTACCTCCAGAGGACTATGGGACAGTGGCCGCAAGCAAGGAGAGGAGAGGTAGTTGTGAAGACGGGGCAGGGAGGGGAGGACGCTGCCCCTGCTGGTCAGACCTGGAGTTCACAAAACACTTTGCCATCATCTTACACAGTGACAGTCAAAGCTCTGCGCAGTTTTCCTGTGAGCAACTTGAGCCTTCGAATCAAAATTTGCAATTCAGTTTCAAAGCACGTGGGCAGTTAGAGTTGGGAACAGAAACCGACTTGCTTGTCCCTGTGTCAATGCTTTTGTCCTGATGTCTGCTCAGCGTGACTCTGGGAGGAAAGTCCTCAGGACGCAAGAAAGAGCGCAGGGGTGAGGGTTTCCTGCGTGCCTCAGAGAAACTCGAGGATCTGCCCAGGAGGAATCAGGCAGGAAATTAGTTACCTCAGATCCTCTAGGAAAACACATGAGTTCTAGCTAGGTAACACATTTCATCTTTTATATTCATATGCATATGTGAGATATTAGTCCATACAATTTTTATATCATTATAAGAAGGGTGGTGGAATCAATCCCCCATCAGCACTAAGACTCTTCTCAATTCCTCCTGAAATTACAATTAGAAGAGTAATAAGGCTCCAGTTTGAAGCCGAACTGTTCTAAGCACCCTTTAAGATATGAAAAATGCATTTTTGTACACAAAATCTCAAATCCTCGCATTGCCACAAGGGAGGGGCATAAGACCCACCTTTATCTGTGAAGAGTCTGAGATTCACACAGAACAGTGTGCTCCTAACCACGCAGAGGAGAGGTGGCAGCAACCAGGGTCTCCATATTAACTTAAAATGTAGGCTCAGCTGTTGTTGAAATAGTAAAATCCAACATAACAAAGCATTTAATAAAGTGTGAGCTTAATTTTTCTCTCATGGAAAATCCCCAGCTGGTTTCGGCTTGTTCTGTGAACATCTCGTGCTGTGGTCCCTAATGACTGTAGGTGGCAGAATGGGGGGTGTAAGAGAGGGTCACACCGTTCACGCTCTTTCCTTTTAAGGATGGGTTTTAGATGTCACCTCTGTAGCTTGAACTCCTAGCTCAATGGCCAGGAGGGCCCTGCCTGTCTTGTAAGGAAGTCTGGGAAATAAGACTTGTGCATAGCTAAGATTATGATTCCCATATAACAGGGGCAAAGAATGGATATCCTGGGATAACTAGCAATTTCTATTGTATCTTTCTAAAATAATATCCATGAAATAAAGTTCCATAATGGGGACATGTGAATATGCTATGTTTTACTGTACGAGGGTACTTCAAAAAGTTCATCAAAAGATTTATATTGTCTTTAAATTCTATTTTTCCACAAACTTTTTGAAATAGTATTTTAAGCACAAAACACAATACCAAGAATGTACATTTTTTAATGAATAAATAAATAAAAGAAAGGAAAATAGACAGAGGTTATAGTACAACCTTAACTCCCATGTGCTTCAGGTGCAAATTTAAATTAGTACAGCTACTTTGGAAAATATTTCGGCACTTTTCAGGCAAGCTTAGAGAGGCCAGAATATTTTATGCTATCAGCACAGTGTCTTGATTTTTGTCCTGGAGCATGAGGTGCCTATGTGTATTAAATCCACACCCAGCTCTAAAATTCAATCACTGTGGAATTTACTTTCTCTTGGCAAGCCATGACAGGGCAGCTGATGTAACAAAAAGAGCCCTCCACGTGGAAGGTAGACTCTTGCTTGCAGGCCTGGATGTGCCTCTGTATTAGGCAGAGTTCTCTAGAGAGATGGAATCAGTAGGATATGTATATAAAAACACGAAAGGTGATTTATTAGAAGAATTGGCTCACAGTATTATGAAGGCTGAGAAGTCTCACGATAGGCCATCTG